ATTTTGATTTTGTTACAATCTTGCTTTCCACTGCAATATGGGACGGAAAAAGAAGAGGTACCTAGATGCTGCAGCTTGTGTGTGTGAGGCCAGACACATCCCTCACGAAATTGTCTCGGACCAGTCAGATCCCATCGCAGCAACTGAATTGGACCAAGATAAGCCACCCGCACCCGAGGTGACAGATTGCCAGCAGCGGGATGGAGACCTAACAAGTGCAGCTGCATGTTCGTGCATTCGGTTCAAAGCAGTATAAATCGCACCGACATGTTCCAGAGTGTGTTGCAAGGGCTTACAATCAGTAGTAGTCATGTTTTGTACCCTTACGCCAAATCGGCCCTCATGAAAATTTATAAGTCCTTCAATTTTTCAGCAATCACTTATCCCTCTTAGGAGTCTCTTGCCCCAACGAAAAGACATCGTCTGGCAAGAGGAAATAAAAAATAGGTTTTCTTTGAAGGAGTAATAGTACTTGTCACAGAGAGGTGGTCACTAAGTGAACCGCTCCATAGGAATAAGGCACCGGTTGTATACGGTATACACGTCGTTGAACTCCAGAATACGTTTGATTATAACATTTATCGATGAACCGGGGTTCGACACCCTGCCGGTGCATATTCGATGGGAGAATGCGTCTTTTTGCCGCGGTATCGAACACTCACAGTGAAAGAATTTTTATCACACCGAGGGTGATTTAAATTTATATGTAGTCCCAGGATGTAACGATCTACACGTTATCCGCGGCGCTCCGCTGCGTCTGTAAATACATTTAACCGCTGCTATCGCTGCCAACCTTTCCCCGAATAAAAGCACCGGTTGTGTACAGGACACACATCGTTGAACTCTACATCTCATGTAGCGTCTTTATTATCGATGATCTGGGGGTCGATGAGCACTCTCATCGGAAGCATCTTTATCACGCCAGGAGAGTTGAATTTATCTGGAGATGCTGGGATACAGCGATATATCCCGCAGACATTACCGTCTCTGATGACATTCGTCCCAGCCATTAACCCAGAATAAAAGCACCGGTTGTGTGCGTTTGTTCAACTGTAGTTCGCGAACTATCTTGATGAGCGACGATCCGGGGTTCGACTCCCCGCTGGTGCATGTGAAGGCATTATATATATATATTTGGTTTGGGTGTAGTGTCGAGCACTCACAATACGAAAGCGAACCGCGTATGTAGATAAATGTATATATAGCTCGTTCACTCGTTATACGTACACTCTCCCCACCTGCCATCCCAGCTTGTTTTTTCTCCCTCAACATCTCGTCCTCGTCCTCGTCAAGTTCATAACAAATCACTCCTTCCCATCATCCCTCTTCATATCCTTCTCCCCTTCCCCTTCCCCCTCCCCCTCGTGCACATCATCAAACACATCCACGCGCGTGCTCGCAAACTTGCGCGCGGAGACGCCCTTCTCGAAGAGGAGGTCGAGCTCCGCGAAGGAGCGTCCTTGGGGCTGCGGGTGCGTTAGTCGAAGCGCGGCGCGGCACAATGAAAATATAAATAGAGATAAATGAACGGAATGCGCTGGCGCAGAAGGGCGCGAACGGCGCGAAATGAGGTGCGGAAACGGAACGAAGGGACCCGAGCGCAAAGCGCAACGAAAGGACGAAGCCCGAAGCGCGATCAGAATAAAATCAACGAACAAAATGCGCCGGCGCGAAGGGACGCGAAGAACGAAGTCGCGAGATTCGAGAGCGACCGAAATCAAAGGAAAGGAAACACGAAGCTCACCTCCGGCACACGATAATACGTATACACCACACAAAGGAAGCAGATCCCGCCCCAGAAGAAGCCTGCGTAGTTGCCCCAGTTCCAGAAGCCCGGGTTGAGCATGTAGGGCGTGAGCACGGAGCAGATTATGCCGACGACGTTGCTGGGGGAGCGTTAGCGAGTGAGGGAAGAGAGGGAAAGTAGGGAACGGGGAGGGTGAGCGAGCGAGGTTCGTGAGAGCGTGCGCGAGGTTCAGAAGGGGGAGAGGGAGGAGAGAGAAAAAGGTGAAAGAATGGGGAAGCAGAGTGGGATGGGCAGACACCCGGCTCGTCGCAGTCGAGGAAGCTGCGGGGCAAATGGAAAATGCACCCATGCGTGCGCCTCACTCCGCGTGCGCTCCATTCGCCACGAAGCAAAAAAAAACCCGCCAAAAAACAAGTAGGCAAGAAAAAAAACACTCACTACAAATTCCTCCCCAGCACCACCGTCTTGATCGACAGCCTCCGCGAGCTGAGCTCGCCAACGAGGGAGTAGCACACGGTGCCGACGGTTAACTGGTAGATCACGGCCCAGATGAGCATGAGGGAGCCGGTGGCGAGTGCGGCCTGGGGGAAGAAGAGGTGAGCGCGTGAAACAGGCATGGATCCGCAGAAATGAATGATGAATAACGAAGGAGGAGGTGAGACGATTAGGTATCCGCGAAGGAACACATTCGTAAATGATCAATGAAGATCCGCAGAAGAAGGGGACTCCGTCCAGATTCAAAGAGGAATCAAAGGAAAAGGAAAAGGAAAAGTAGAAAAAACAAGTAATGAAAAAACACGCACACTATCCCGATGCCTCGCCGGCGCCAAGCCCAGGAAACCCAGACAGAGGAGGATCGTGCAGAGGCCCATGAGACCGTAGAGGTAGAGCGCGCGGCGGCCAACTGTGTCGGTGAACGTGCACGTTGCCAAAAAGAGCGTCGGGGTCGGGGGAATGATCATAAACGGCGTCGGGGGAATAATCATAAATGGCATCGTGGAAAATGATCATAAAGAAATGAAATACAAACACATAGTCAGCACCACGTCTCACATTTACGAAGCGGGAAGAAGAAGGAGGAAAGAAAGGACGCACTGCCCCTAGACATAAGGAACCACGCGCCAAACACGCCCGCGCAGTTGATCCCGTACTGCCCGAGCGCAAAGTCGTACGACTTGGCGGGCGCGAGGCCGGCTTGTTCGAGGAAGTAGGTCGAATACCCCGTGAATGAGTTGCCCGCGAGGTTCTGCATGGCCCAGACCATGCATACGATCTGTGCGGGGATTAATCCAAATTATAAGAGCGAGAACATAAAGGAAAAGATAAGAGAGCGAAGGAACGCACCTCCGTCCTCCTCAAATCCGTCCCCTTAAAACAATCCAAATAGCTCGCCCCCTCGTAATCCTCTCCTCCAACATCGTCGTATGCCGCATCATCGCCACCGTCTCGTCCACGTCAAACTTCTCCCCTCTTTCTCCCCCTCGAAACTCGTCCCACTCGTCAACCGCAACAGACTCTTCCGTGCCTCCTCGATCCTCCCTCGTCGGACAAGCCACCAAGGCGACTCCGGCGCGAGGGCGATGCCGACGAGGAGGGGGACGGGCCACATCCACTGCAGCGCGTACGGGATGCGATACGCCCACTGGTCGGTACGGGGGAGCATGGATTTGATTACGCCTATGCCGATGACCTGGCCGAGCCCCAGCAGAAGTTGACGTAGGTTGTTAGGTAGCCGCGGAGGGGGAGGGGGCAGACTTCGGAGGCGTAGGTTATTGTTACTGCGGGTTGCATGAGCGTCGCGAAGAAAAAAAATGAAAAGAGATGGAAGGCGGAGTGGAAGCGGAGCGTGAAGGTCGAGAAGAGAGAGGGAAACGCACGCGTCTGAAACACCCCCCACGGAATCCCACACAAAATCTCCGCAACCTGCAGATCCACCACATTCTGCGCCGTGAAGAAGATCGTCTGGAACCCAATAAGAGCCACGAGGCACGCCATGACCGTGTACCGGTACCCAAAGCGCTCCGATACCCACCCGTTGAGGAATAGGCCCATGATCTCGCCGACGTTGGCGCCGTTGCTGAGTCCGGCCTGCCATGGGGCGGGGACTTGGAAGGTCCCGTCGGGGCGCTGTTGTCCGTATTTGGCGTTGAATTGGGGGAAAGCGTCTGTGGGGGTGAGAGTTGAGCGTGCAAAGGAAAGCGAGAGGAAGAGACACACAGAATTTGAGAGGAGACAGACGTCGTAGCCCTCCATGCAGATGCACGTCGAGATGAGGACGCTCCAAGCGACGGCCTTGGGGTACAGCCGCAGACCCTGCAGCAGGGACATGTTGTGCTCCTTGTCCGTCGCCGACTACGTGTCATTCCATCCAAAACCGCAAGAATAATCGCAATAAAATCAGGAAAAAGCGCAAGAAAAACAGAAAATTGTGAGCAGAAAGTGAAGCCGCAGGAGCAACAAACGCACCTTGGCATTGAGCGTCATCTCCTTCGCGGCCGCATCCTTTGCGATGCGGTGCTCGTCGTCGAAGCGCAGCGGGGCGTCGCCAGACATGGTCGAGGTTAAGAGAAGGGCGCCGACGCCAGCGGTATTTGTGCGTCGGAGAAGCACGGTCCGAACATGCGATGATGCGAACCGGTCGTGTGATTGATCAGCTGCCTTGTTGAATGTATTCGCTTGGCCGTGCCATGAATTCGAAGAGATGCGACTTTGTTCGTTATCCGGGCATTTAAAATTAACAGCGGTGGGCAAGCGGTGGGTTCTTACGTTGAAATCATGTTTCAACTCGCCTCCGAGTCCACTCCAAACTTGCCTCAACCCCAGGGTAAGTCTGGGTTAGTAATGTGGAGAGGTGGAGTGCCAATCAACGCCGACGTCTGATTCCCGGCCCCGCCATATGCAGATCTGCAGATCATTATCCCTCTTTACGGCACGCTTATGTCCGTCTGATGTATGCCGTTTGAACTTTTCCAGAACTTCAACGTATCTCGTTTCTCAGATGTGAATGCGAATATGCGATGCTGGGATGATACCAGGGACGAAGACCGGAACAAAAGAAAAAAAAGGGAGATGACAAGTCAAGAGCGCATTGCACCGGCGGGGAATCGAACCCCGTCTTGCTGTCGTATTCAGTCTTTCCAGGTAACGATGTGTACCACACACCACCGGTGCATGCATTGGGTCGTTTCAACCTCGGTAGATGCCCCACTTTCCTCGTCGGTGGCAGAAAAAAGAATTACGCGGCCGAATTTTATGCACCAGCGGGGAATCGAACCCCATTCACGATTAGTGAAATCAATGAGTATGTACTTTATGCGTGTGTGTTCCATGCACCACCGGTGCTCTTGCATGCCCTTTTGAATCTAGGTAGGTGCGTAACTTATTCCTGCCTTTGGTATGGCAAGGAAAAAAGAGTTCAAAAAGCAGCCATGCACCGGCAGGGAATCGAAGCCCGTCCGAGTGACGGCCAACGTTAATGCATATCCTCTTACCTTTCAGCTTCGCTGAGAGTATAACTTCCCACTGCAGATCAATATAGAAAAAAACAGTACAATCCTCAGGGTACAAGCACCGGCGGGGACTCGAACCCCTTCACCATTAACAAATCAAAATCCTTGTACAAACTTTATTGGTGTGTGCACCATGCACCACCGGTGCATGTCGTCTTACCTTTCAACCTCGCTGGGTGCGTAACTTTTCCCTGCTTCCCACCAAGATAAGAAAAAAAAGTCCACGAGAAAGCGCTGGCATGCACCGGCGGGGAATCGAACCCCGGCTCACCATTAGTCAAGATTGCCCTGTTTACTTGATTGGTGTGTGTGCCATACACCACCGGTGCTCTTTGTTACCCTTTTGAATCTAGGTAGGTGCGTAACTTATTCCTGCCTTTGGGATGGCAAAGGAAAAAAGGGTTCAAAGAGCAGCCATCCACCGGCAGGGAATCGAACCCGTCCCAATGACGGTTAACGTTAATGCATATCTTCTTACCTTTCAGCCTCGCTGAGAGTATATAACTTCCCACTACTGATCAAGATAAAAAAGACAGTGAAATCCTCACCGTACAAGCACCGGCGGGGACTCGAACCGCTTCACTATTAATGATGAAGTTAACGGGTACTAACTTTATTGGTGCGGGTATCATGCCAACCTCGCTGGGTGACTTTTCCCTGCTCCCACCAAGACAAGAAAAAAAAATCTATGAGCAAGCAGCATGCACCGGCGGGGAATCGAACCCCGGCTCACCATTAGTCAGCCTGCTCCATTTTACTTGATTGGTGTGTGTGCCATACACCACCGGTGCTCTTTGCTACCCTTTTTAAGCTTGCCGAGTGTGTAACTTCCTCCTCTGTGGTAGAAAAAATTGTATCAACATCCGCTGACATGCACCAGCGGGGAATCGAACCCCTTCTCACCATCGAGTTCAGATGAGCATTACTTTATTGGTGTACACCACCAGTGCTTGCACCTACTCTTTTAAACCTCGCTGGGTGCGTAACTCCCCGCCTCATATAAGAATAATCCTCTTCTCCAAATGTAGCACCGGCGGGGAATCAAGTCCCATTCCACCATTAGTGACTTGCAGCAGAAGTACTTTATTGGTGCGTGTGCCCCACACCACCAGTGCATATCTTCTTACTCTCAACCTCGTTGTGTGCACAACCTTTTCCTCCTCTGCAGCAAGTAAAAAGAAATGGAAAGCATTCATATGCACCGGCCGAGAATCGAACCCCATTCCACCCATTCATGAATACTCGATTAATTGTGCTGGTGCATGTCCAGACCATCGGTGCTGATACTCTCATCTTTCAACCTCGCTGGGTGCGTAGCTTTCTGCCTCAAAGGCAATAAAGATAATAAAAAAAGAGCCGGAGAAACATGCACCAGCTGGGAATCGAACCCCTTTCGCCATCAAATATGATCAGATGAGTACAGGTTATTATTACATGTACCATACACCACCGCCGCTGCTTGCTCCTACCTTTTTGACCTTGCCAAGTACATGATTATTATTTTCCTCCTCTACGGCAAGTAACAGGAACAAACCAGAGAGAAACATATGCACCGGCTAGGAATTGAACCCGTGTTGCTACCGTGTTCGACCTTTATTCCTACCGAGTCAGCATGTGGGCCAGTGCTTATCCTCTTACCCATAACTTTCTGCCTCACGAGGAAAAATACTCGAGCATGGCACATGCACCGGTGGGGAATCGAACCCCGGCCCACCATTAGTAATTCTCTACTCCGACTACTTAATTGGTGTGTAGCATACACCACCGGTGCATGTACCGGCTTGTTTCAACCTGGCTGAGTAAACAACTTCCGGCCGCAAAGAAAAGAAAAAAGTGACTCGCCTCCTCTCATATGCACCGGCGGGGAATCGAACCCCGTTCACCGTTAGATGGTATTGTCCAAAAATCTGTACTTTGTTGGTGCGTGTACCACACACCACCGGTGCCTGCACCCCCCATTTTCAACGCCATCTCACACAATGAATTATTTCTTACCTCACATTAAGATTTAAAAAAAGCCTATCCTCACGCCATATGCACCGGCAGGGAATCGAACCCCGTCACCGTCAAATGGACGAGCAACACTACATAATTGGTGTGTGTACCATACACCACCAGTGCATATCCTCTTACCTTTGAACCTCGCTGAGTGCTTTGCTTCCTCCTTCCTCACAGGAAGAAAAGGAAAAAAGATGCATCCATGCGCTACATGGCATGCACCGGTGGGGAATCGAACCCCATTCACCATTAGTCAGAAGGTCCACTTTGTTATGTTGGTGTAACCATACACCACCGGTGCTCTTGCTTACCCTTTTCAACCTCACTGGGTGCACAACTTCTTCCCCCTCCGCAGCAGAAAAAAAAAACTACTTCGCAACGCTTGAGGCACTAGTGGGGAATCGAACCCCGTTCCACCATTAAATGGCAAAGTTTGACTGGTACTATTGGTGTGTGTACCATACACCATCAGTGCTTATTATCTACCTTTTAAACCTCGTTACCTGCATAGCTTTCCTGCCCCACGGCAGGCAAAAAGAACAATGGTGCGCGGGAATCGAACCCCTCACCATTGCAGCAAAATGCAACATGATTATGTTGGTGTGTTCGCGGGTGCCGATACCGCTGCCTTGTGAACTCATAACCTAGGCAAGACTCTCTCAGTTCCTTGCAACCGATAACCAAAAAATTTAAAGGGGTCAGGCCATAGCCAGGGGGAATCGAACCCTGTCTCGCCGTTCATTCGTCACAATCTTAATAACCAGTCAGCGCGTGTTCCATACACCATTCATGGCTCCGCTGAATCCAGCGTTGCGAATTCTGGGTCCGTGAATGAATTTTATGAACGGCAACCAAAAAATCATGATATTCACACCTTCATCGAACGAAACAATTATCGAAAATGTCTATGAAACGCCTATGGAATGTCTCTAGCGCAAATCAGGCCAACGCAGCGGCGAGAAGGTCGTCAAATTTGGGTGTTCCAAAACCAGCTAATTTGGTGTATCAAATACGCAAATGCACGAACAGTGTTGATACTTACTGAGGGGATCCCATCCTGTTGCCGCGTCAAAGGCCACCTGGTCATAGGAATCAGCACATAAAAAAACGATTGACAGTGGAGACCCACAGAAGACGTGGGACAGACAAGGCCCGAATTGTGCCCAATAGTTATGTCAGTGAACGCCGACGAGGCCTTCGAGTAAAGCCAGGGATTCAAGAAACCCAATACGGGTTTTTCAGCCGCTACTAGTCGATCATTAATCAGGGCAATGATTGAAGCAAAGGTCGGTGAGGATGCGCTAGTTCCTCCGTCCAGTATTACTTCGCCACCGGCTACCATCTCAAAGTTCCATCCTGAGTGGCCACATCCGGTCTTGCTGAAAGTCCCTGAAAAGTCGTACGGGATCGTCCCCAGAAAGCCGGTGACTGCTTCAGTCTGGTAGTATGGCGTAGGGAAGTAGTCCGAAAATCCACCACCGGTGAAGTTGGTAGCCTTCTCCGGTGCAAACCCTTGATAGATCCTACGGAGTCACGAAAGGGCAACCGCGGGGAACACAGGCATGAATGTATTATTGGTGCAGACAGTGGTGGCATCGTGCATTCCGTGTACCCCACCCTAAATTCAAGGTCAGAGTAGCCAGCAAATTTAAGTAGATATCGAGGAACCGACATCTCCTGAGGCAAATATCACGGATATTCCTCGCGCTCCAAGGGCCATGTATCGATTATAGGAAAAAAGCATAAGAAAACATGACAATTTGACGATGGGATTGTACTGACGTTGCCACACTTGCTCCAAAGCGAGATTCAGTATTACCATAAGACGTAGTCATCACCGTGTGTGGGTTAGCGATGCCATCGAGGAAGGTAGTGGTGTCAATGAGAGCCGTGGGGAAGTCGAATCCACCTACAGATAGAAATTGTGTGGGGACTCCAGTCGCGAGGCCTGAATTGGTCATTAGGTCTAGACTGTGGTTGCACTAAAATTCGAAACGAACCCATCGTATATTGAATATCCAGATTTGCTTCGAATCCGGCATCGTTCGGGTCCTGAGGGTTTGTTCCGTTGTCCGCAGTCGAGAGCGTGAACGTCGTATTCGGCGATATGTCAGGCCGCACGAGTGTGAGAAATTGCTATGATCGTGTTAGTTATTTCTCTATCCGAGTTGAGGAATCACGAACTGTGAAATCTGATATTTGCGCCCACTCGTCAACATATCCAGTGACTAGCAGAGTATTAGATGTCTGGGTAGCCGGAGTGGCTGGAATCCCATAAAGGTCCTGCAGGCAGGCAGGAGTTATGACGCCAGCAGGGTCAGTCGAGTTGCACGATGTGTCAGGCCCACGCCTGTTAGTCCTACGGAGAGCCAATACCAGAAACATCAGGCTCGACGAATGCGTGGTAGGATGAAGCACCTCGACCTGTCCAACCAGATCAGACGGAAGAGACACAGAGAGTATGCGCGTAATTGGGTGTTTGAGGGATAGGTGTGTAAAAACATCAAACTGCGCAGCAAAGAGCTTGTTCGCCTTGTAGACCGGGAGGGTAACTGATACCCAATTATCATTCGGCGAGACCACAGTGGGTGTGAGCCCATTGGCGGACGCAAACGTATTAAAAGCAGAGAGTGTTTTGGAGGAAGGCTGGACGAAAGCTTTCACCTGAAAATTGCTCGTCAGTCACGCCACCAGCGAAACGGATGCACTAACCTCCTCCATCGAGAGCCAACGTCGGAAGTCAGGGCTCTCCGGAGCAGCGATTGATTTTAGCTTTTCCTCCAGATTCGCAACATTGTTTGAGGTCAATGCAATACGCAGCGTGATCATAACATTAGCAGGTGCGGCGCCTTGGCGGAAGAATCCAGAGGGGGCAGCGGTACGTCGCTCGTGCAGAACCATAGAGGTGGCTGATGCCGCAAGCACAATCGAGAGCACGGATAGAAGGCTGCGGAAGGCCATGAAGAGAAAGATGGGGTAGTAAGAGTGCTCCTCCCTTTAAAACTATCCGCGAACGAGAGAATGCCGACTTCGCACGGTAAACACTGGATTCCTCCGCTGTCTGGTTTACCGTCGATACGTAGTCAAAAAATGCCCCGCATGAGAGAAAGTTATTTGGAGGAGGAAGAGCTACCGTTGTAATAGCCCGTCGGCGAAGATTCCCCTGTAATTGGAGACCATGCTGTTCCACACGCACACAGTTGCATAAAACTGCGCAGCGGCATTAGCGCAATGCCAATGATGGAAAGAGAAGAGCAAAAACTAACGTAATGTTCGGCACGTCGATGCCTCCGAAGAATGTTGCAACTCCGAGAATGAAACTCGAAGAGCCTGCACAGTGCCGCCTTTGGGATTGAAATAACAGCATGCACAAGGTAGGCAGCTAGCCCTCATCTCCAGAATTGGACCGCCCCCGAGATCGGGGTTGATAAATTATCAACACAACGAATCGGAAGGGAACAGAAAAGTTGCGACGTACATGTCATTAGGGTCGTTCACAGTAGCCTTTTTTCCTCCCATTTTCGCTTCCTTTTTTCTCCCTTTTTTGTATTCCCACCGTTTTTCTCCAGATTTTTTTTCCCTTTTCAATTTCAACATGCAAAAAGGGTGTAAATCCAAAAAATCTAGGCCCAACATGCGATATTGGATAAATTCAGAAAAAAAAGGAAGCGAAAAAGGGCCAAAAAAAGCCTACTGTGAACGTTCCGGTTTTCAGCTCCCTTTTTCGGCCCTTTTTCACTCCCTTTTTGGCTCCCTTCATCCATTTCATGCAGTCTAGATGCTCCTATGGTTC